AGAGCACTTCAGAATCATAAAGAAACTAAACTGACTTACTGTATTGTGTTTGATGACCTGTGAATGAGAACGGACTGTAAAACATGTAGGACAAACTACGGTGGCTGCAAAACTTAGGAAAAATGTGAAAGGGCCATTCCAGAGCCAGTGTTTGGTGTGTCTGTTCTGGGCTACTGTAGAAACATGGTGGTTTAACATGGCGGCTTCCATGGAAGGCAGACCACAGCGTCTGTAGATAAAAACATCTCATTATAAAGTAATAAAAACACACTGATGAAAACATACCTATGAATATTCTATTCCATTTCTGATATAAGATCCTCCTAAATGTTGAGGAGAGTCAGGGAAATGCAAACTCAAGCAAAACGATGCATCAGAGCAAGAAAGCCTCCTAAAGCTTCCAGAAAAACTTCAGTTTTAGATAAATCTTTTTAAATCTTGTCCAACAGAAAGTAAACACAAAAATGAGCCCCCTGGATTAGCGACTGTAGCTGAGTAGGGAACTACTTAGGGACGACTTTGCTACTTTCATTTGCCTCAAAATCATTAACTGACCATTTGCAAATAGTTTAGATCAATATAATGTAGAACTTGATAGTATGCTTGATTATTTTACACAGTTTGAAAGCAAAAATAGAAGAAAAAAACCTTTTAACCTTCATTCTGTTTTGCTAGCTCACCGCAGGTGCTTCTCACACAAGCATCAATAACATCACAGTATTCTCATCCCACACAAGGCAAGGGTCAATGTGATTCAGTTGACCGAGCATGGTCTACCAGTTGCATAGCCTGCCACTCAAATTTATGAAACCATCATCTTCTTTGCCTCCACTGCACTAGGTTATATTGCATGTCACAGACTTTTATTATTGAAATGAGACATTTATGACAGTGAGCCCTCGCCACATAAGAGCGGCCTCCTGAATCATCTCAATGCAGCTGAAGGAGGGAGAAATGAGATATGGCAGATTATTGGAGCACGCCACCTGCGCTTCGTCACTCATCACAATATGCCAATTTATATGAATGTAAAAACAATCTTACTCGTATTTCTCAAGTTCACAAAAAATCATGATCTGGGGGATTTATGTATGAAAGCTTTCTGGTGGTATTGAGTGCTGTGTCTCCTCAGGGGCAGACGAGGCCTGCGTTGAATAGGCCGAGGGTCCCTCCTCGGCAGCTTATTGTTTCGTGGTCCATTGTAAGCCTATTCAGTCTGGGATACTGGCATTATTCAGTCAAACATGGTTAATGCAAACAACCGCATTGTAGAGCTGTTTTAAGTCTGTTGGGAGCTGATGTAATGCTTAAACTGTGTGTGTATGTGGCTTGTGTGTGCCTGCTTCCATTTGCTCACAATGACACCATATCTGTCAGATTTAGCTGTGAGGTTGAGTGGTTTCCATCGCGCTCTTATCTCTGCACAGCAAACACACCCATTCACATGTATACACACACACACACACCTAAACACACACAAACGAAGTCTTATCTCTTGGCTTTCCTTATCGCTCCCGTTTGTATTCAAAAGTGGAAACAACATTTAGCCATCGTAGTGGCCAACTGATTACACCCGGTGACACATTTAAAGGTTGACACAAGCCCTGTCTTGAGCATATTGAAGCCTCAGGCACTGATTGGCTTTCACTGTGCTACTTTCAACCCCGTCTCAAACACATGTAGGCCATATCCGCACCATGGTCCGCTAGTAACCCCTCATAGTCAATGATGTGTGTAATTGGTGTATCACAGGCAGCTAAATGTTACATTATAAGCTGGTAGCTGAGACTATCTGTGTGACTTTAAAAGTCTGTGTAGAGTTATGTCTGGAAGTGACCTATCAAAACGTATTTAACCAATTCACTGGACTTTTCAGAGCACAAAAGGAGAGAGGATACAGTGCTGTGAATTCAGGATGTCTACCATTATTCTTCTCTACAAAGTCAGAACGCATCTATTTGGTAATTGAGGCCAGAATCTGATGTAACTTATGCCAGACAATTAGAGAAAATAGTATGTAATAAAAGTTATCAGTAACTGCAAAATGCTGCTAAAAACCAAGCAAAGTGCATTTGTTGCACTCAAGGAATTCATATCATTTGATGTGGTTAAACAACCTTAATCTCACTTAAATGTATTACATTCTGGATTAATTTAGTTTCTTATACTGTCTGACTGTCCATTAATCAGGTCCTAAGATCGGTAACATTTTTTCTAGTCATAGAATAAAAGGTATTTGGCTAACTACCCTTCTAACCCCCTGTTACCTACTGTTCCTGTAGTCAGTGCTTTCTGTCATTGTAGGCCAGTAGATAGAAAATATAAAAGAAAGGATACAAAACATACAGAATGTGTCTCAAAGAGTAATAACAAGCATACAAAGTGGCCGGACAAAGAGCAAATGACATTTTCACTAAAGGCTGAAGATCGATGATGACACACTGCGCTCACTGAACGCACAAAGTAAAAACACACACACATAAGCTACAGTATAGTCTTTCCTCCCAAACGGGAGCAAACCACTTTGAACCTTGACCTTTTGGAAGAGTGTTTGGACAGACAAGAAGCTTTGGTTTAGGGCAACTGGGAACCATTTTTTATTGGCAATGGTAACCTTTAACTTGAGAGGTATATGAAGGCTGTGCTAGATTGTTGGTTCATTACAGCCCTCCCTATGGACTGCCGTGAACTGTGACTATTTTTAGGGTTCTCGTGGAGCTTTCATGGGTTATATCAGATGATGTAATGACTTGATATTGTTTCTCCGTCAGCTTGGTCACAGGAGCACAGTTGAGTGATGAGAAAGGGAACTTGTAATCAAAATGGAATTACTGTTTGATATTGATGGAATCCGCACACCTACACGTCTCACTATAGATCTCGCACCTGCATGTATCTCCCATGTGGGTTTTCCAACTCACACATGCATACATACATACATACATACAGATAGAAAGGAAGAGGCCATGCTATGACTAAATTAAACTACAATCACTTTGGGGAAACAGTCTTTGCAAGAGTAAATAATAATATAACAATAGGAAAATGCGAAGAAAGAGCTTAGAAAATGAGAATATTTCAAGGAAAAGTATGGAAAATGTTTAAATATGGATTGCTATGCCACTAATGGAGAACAACTAATACAAGTAATTCTTTATTTAAAGCGTATGTAGACATAAAGAAAACAGTAACGATGTTTGTGATTCAAAACCTTTTTGCCCAATTTACATCTCAATTGTCACAATGTTCTAAAACTCTTCCCTTACTTGTCTGCTCCTCTTTATCTCTTCCTTTGTGGTTTAATTATCCCTAATGCTTTGTAAATTCCGTGTATATGATGTACAAAATGTGTGTCGCACACAAACACGTACACACATAAAATCTGTGCGTTCTGAGCCATTATCCCCAGTCTTTGTCACATCTGCTGGCGATTAATCAGCCCCCAGTTAGCTCATCAACAGGCAGATTGAATAGAGGAACAACAGCAGGTAAACACACTGGCAGGTGTACCCGCACAAACTTCCTGCCTTACAGAGCATTCCCTCTGATTGGAGATTAATGTGTCCATCTGGACCTCATTACAACTTAAAAATGTTGTGGAACTTTCCCTATACTTTTTCACATAGGTTCAGGGACAATAAAAGGAAGTTAATGCGTGTGGAGGAGAACTTTTATGTGGCAAAAATATGTCATAACAAGAAATGTCACAGGTTCAATGCAGTCATGAGTTAATTGTCATCCTAGCTGCAGATGGCAGTAGAATTTATCATGTGTGGGTCCAACATAATGGTATATTAGTTTCCATACCCATGCAAGGTATACAGTAGGCCACTTATACCATAAAGAAAACTATCATTAGCATGATGTCCAATTTGTTGCTACTACTTCGACCACCAGACTAAAATGTATAGGAGATATTCCAAAAGTTATTCTCCCAATAATGATGCTGACATTGGGCATATGCTTCCACATTTTAAGCCCTTGACAAACACTCTGACACCATCCAAAATCAATGCAAACAATCAATTTCAGGATGTGACAGGCTGAAAATGAACTTGGCATACAGAGGTTAAACTAATTGGGTTAAACTTGCATGAGCGTGAGAGAGAAAATGTATAGCGGTGGGTGTTTTCACACTGAGAGCTGTCAGTATATGACATCTCTTCTCCACTGATTCCCTTGTGGCAAAACCTTTTCTGAGCTTGCAAATTAAGTAGGTGCTGCTTGCTAAAACTGATATTCCCAATGGAGCAAGGTCTACCCCCACGGCTCCTTCCCCACTTTGCTGCTCATTTGCTTAAATCAGTATTGTTATTATTGTTATTATTCTGCATCTAATGGGCTTAATGGTAGAAATGCAATGAATAAATAATGCATTTGAGTTAGACTGATTTGAAGAAGAATATTGGTGCAGACCAGAATGAGATAAAATGAGCTCATTAAAGATTTTTTCTCCTTCAGCAAATGTGGCAATCTAGTACATTATACAGTCTCTGTAAATTTGGCAGTAGCCTAAAGGTTGGGAATAGCTGGTCAGCAGTTAAAATGTCTGAACCTGCTGGGAAAGTGTACTGCATAGGTAAAAAAAAAAGGGGGGGAGAATATGTAATGTGCTCCCTCCGTCAAGAATTACTGCCAAAGTGCCCTTTATAAAAGCACTTAACTTGTAGTTGCTTTATTGGAAGCTCTTTGGTGCCTAACTGTGGAGACATGTAAAGGTACTAAGGCTCCAAGGTGTGAATGTGAAACAGGTTGTCTCTAGTGGTTGCCCGATACATGTCAGATTGTCCTTGGATAAATGAGGGTTAAAAAAAGGCACTGTGGTCTTTAATAAGCTCTCCTCTCACCTTCTACTGACTAGTTTTCAGAGACCATGTATATTGTAATTATTGTCACTGACAAAGGAATTCACAACACAACACGGTTTGCATCTTTTCACCATGACATGCAACATGAAGGAGGACAGGGTGTCCTAGTGATTTGGTGTCCTCTTCCCCCAGGTGAATGCGCGTGACTTCTCCAAGGTTGACCATGAGGAGGCAGTGGTGGAGGCCATCAGGCGAGACCCCATTGTTGTCCAGGTTCTCCGTCGAACCCCCACCAGAGCCACGGCCACGGTTTCACATAACCACAGCAGCACGCCACAGGATGTGTGTGTGGTGGATGTTTGCACGCAAACGGACATCACCTTCGAGCACATCATGGCACTGGCGAAACTTCGGCCTGCTACTCCACCCGTCCCTGACATCTGTCCCTTCCTTTTGTCCGACAGGTGAGGGCAAACACTTGTCAAGTTAAAGCCAATGCAAGAAGTTCCATCTACTGAAGGGTGGCTGAATGTTAATGGTAAACACTGAGTAGACAATTACTACCCTATATTTTGTTATCTGGAATCATTAAAGTAAAGATTCCCTGAAGCTTTTCTGTTGTTCTCTTTCATTCCATGCTAGGAATTAAGCAGTTGTTCATAGTGTGGAAATCCCCAGCATAGCTAAGTACTTTATCCCTGTGATATCATTATGCAGAGCCAAACCTGCTTGCAATAATTGCTTCTGTGTGCTACATTCATTTTCTTTAATGGGAGCTTTTGCTGGGCGATTAAAAGCCAATGGGCTGATAGAGCAGGCATTCTGGCGCTACGTCAATTCTGTGGCTATTTATAGGGCTTTGCTGGGCAGCAGATGAAATCAATTTGTCCTATAAAACTACAAATCTGCCAGTCCTGGTCAATGATTATGGAGAGGCAGTTATCATGGTGACAGTTTACAGAGGTCATGGTTTTTATGGGGTGAATGGTTGATGTGTATATTGATTGTTCAGAGTTTCGTTGCAACTACTAAGACATGTAACACATAAAACTTTTAAGTAAGGAACTTTTGTTTTTTTAATTTCTCAAGGAAGCCATTGATTCATGATATTTAACTTAATTATCTCTTCCATTCTTCTTTTTTCTCTCAAGTTGCCATTCCATCCACACCATGGAACATGAGTTTTATGAATGTCCAGAGTACCTGTCCAATACCCCAGCTGAGGTGGAGAGGACTGAGGAGTATGAGTATGAGGTAAAGTTTTGCATCTTTCTGTTGTATGAGGGTTCTTTTACTGTACTGGGACAGTACAATATGTTTTTGCCCCTTCTGTCTGTCTTTCAATGCATCCACAACTTCGGTCCTGAACAAGATACTTGACAACAACATAATATATAACTTTTCATGGTCCACAGAGGATGAATACTAATCTATTTGGTGACTTATCAGCTTGAACATTTTGCTCTTATAGCATAAATATCCACTACTGCATCCTGCACCTGGTGCCCAAGGGTTTTGGATACTGACCATGAACCACAGTGTTATTGGTTTGTGTCCTTTGTTGCATCTTGATTACCATCCCTCTCTCCCCTCTTTCTAAATAATATAATAATAAAAAAAAACATAATGGGCAAATTTCCATGTAATTTACTAATCATATGTATGCTTCCCAGAGGATGAACCCTTTCAATATTGGACAATTTATTAGGTCTGGAGTATCAAGTCTTCTAGTGAAGATGGTGATAATGTTTTATTAAACGCATATAGAGGTACATGATGTGCACAGGACAATACTTATATAGAAACATTTTTTTAAGCTATTTGTGGCTTAATTTCCAAGCTTTTGGAACTAGATTGAATAGGCTTAATTATTTTTATTCATACAGTCGGACAGGGCCACCCACCGTTGTGTCAGTAATACACAATCCCTGTGGATAATTCAAGGCTGGCCCTGATGTATGATGCTCAAAAGTCCCACAACAATAAAATAAAAACTGTACAAGAAAATTGGCTGCCCCTTGTGAAAACTACATCTTGTCCTGATATTGTTTTGTGTAGCGTAGCCCTGTCCCTGGGTTTAAGATGGAAGGCCATTCTTCATGTAATTGTAGCAAAAGAAAACCCCTCTCTGAAAGGCCTCCTTGTTGAATCACCAGTGTTTTATTCACAGGGCATTTCATTATGCACTGTCCTTCAGAAATGTTTGTGTCCCTTTTCAGACAGCCACTTGAAGCTGAACAGAAATTGTGAGTATATTATTTGCTAAAAAGCAAACACTCACGGGTATCAGAATAGATATGTTCTGATTTCATCCACAACCAAACAAACAACATTGTTAATTGTTGGCAGGTAATGTTAACCCTGTTTATCATTTTACTTTAGCATGTAAACACGCTAAAATTTGCTCATTAGCACAAAACGCAGTATACAGCTTAGGCCGATGCCTATTTGTTTTACCCAATAAATTCATTTTGACAATAGTGATAAATGACAGACTTTGTTAAACTGAAGAATAATTTTGTCAGATTATGTGTGCATATAAAATATAACTCAAAATACAATGATTAAATCTGCATGTTATTTAATCATACATAAATTTAGACAATTTCTAATATTTACACAGGTTTGTCCAGCAATGCTTTACTACATATTCACATTTGAGTGAGTGAGCAGCTCTGGAGAAGGTGTACTTGTGATCAGAAGAGTATATATATCAAACAATCAATGGTCTATGCCCACAAGTGTCTTCATTGTAACAGATGCATCATGCCACTCAGACAGTGGACCTCGAGGTCATGCTAGGTGACAGTGATGGGTGACGTTTGCTACTGTCAGTGGTCCCCCCTGGTTTAATAGGCACTTCCTGGTTCAGTGAACTGCATTGTGGGTCATTAGGATTCCTCTGCTGCCAGCTGTGGCCTTACCTTACAGCGTCATCTAGATGAAAGACTCTCCAGTGTGTGTCAGGGGTGGGAGCAGGGGGCGCAGGGCTTGTGTGTGTGTGTGCTAATAGCAGTAGTATCAGAACAAGGTCAGCTTTACACACGCAGACACATACAGTCAAACTCCAACCCCCACCTGCCCGACATACACACGCCAAATCAACCATCCCCACTTACCTCTGTCCATCCATGTGTGTCTAACTGAAACATGAATGGCTTTCCTTTTGGATGAAACAGAAAAGGGCTGCCATTCCCAGGAACATTACTTCTGACAGGTTTAGCTTCACTTCCAACTGATTGTCCACATGGGTACTCCTGCTGTCATAATACTTCTGCTACTTCTGCCAAATCTGCCAAACTATGATATTGCCAGGTAGCAGACAGTAGATGTAGAAAAGTAGTTTTATATATGGATGCTTTGATTGTTAGCTTAAAAAGTAGAGTTCACAGAATAGCAAGCCATTCAAATTCCAATTCCCAGAGTTACTAAAATTACTGTTGTGAATATCAGAGTTAATAAGCGTGCTCTCAACATTTACAACCTCTGCTGGATATTAATATCTACTTTCCAGGCAAAGTAATGTTGAAGATGTTATACAGATTTTAATGAATGCTCTGTTTGGTCACCAGGTTACACAGTGCAGTTAATGAAGTGGCAACAGTCTGCCAGAAAGCAGCCAGTTAGCGGTTTGCCAAATTAGTCAAAATAAACATGTCTTAATTATGGATCGTCAACGGGTGCCAAACTTCAAAGGCTGGATTTTTTAATCCTCAAAAACAAAAAAATATTGGTATGCAAAGGGTGGTAGAGGGAAGAATCAAGAGTCTTACAGAGTTTTGTCAGTGAAAGTACAAAATAAGATCAAATAAAGCAGAAAGACATGTTATCAAGTGACACACTCAGAAGTGAGAGAAGGGTACTTCTGTGATTTAATATTGTGCTTCCAGTGTGTTGGAGTACTTGAGAGAGACAGGTTAAGTTTAAGAATGGTCAAAATCAATGCAGCACAGGGCAGAATAGCCAGACTTTTACTCTCTAGTATGTGCCAAGCACCAAAAACTCTGGGTCCTATAATTACCTTGATGCAACTGGTTTTGTTACCATCCCTGCCTGATAAATGCCAGCATCCTTCAAAATCCAAACCCCCTTTGTAACGTTCGTAAAGCATTTTTTTAACATTCGCTAAAAAATACTGAAAGTCGCTTAAAAAAAAGAAGCCCGGTATCAATAGGAAAACCTCTAACTAAAAATAACTTCTAAGCTTTCCCTGACTGAATGAATTACTGTCACTACACTTTAAAGACTGTTGCTATAAAATAGTGACAGCTGGAAGGGTGTCATCACCTGCAAAGTGGAAACAATGAGCCAATGAACATTAGACATGGCAATCATTTCTTTTGAATGAAACATGAGGTAACCGATGAGTGCATATCAGGCTGAAATGTTACTAACAGATGTTTAATGTGGCTCTAAAAGGCAGGGCACCATTTATTGTCATACGTCTCAAGTTATCATATACCTAAGTCGCATGTGGTTAATGTGATCTCTCCTACTGAAAATTAGGAAACCACATACTAAAAATTAAGAAGATAAATTCCATAAAATTGTCACCATGCATTATAAGCAACATGGAATTTGTTAGATGTCACTGCTGTGCCATAATTTCAACTCCCCAGTGGCACATATTAAGATCCAATCATCACTAATCAAGCCACTCTACAATTTCAGCACCTACGGCTTCAGGCATCTGGAGACCATTCACTGGTGGGCTTCACACAAGCGATAACTGACTCCAGTAATCTAGTAAAACCCAACCTACCACCCAATGTGCTCTGACATTAAAGCGTTAGTGCTGTCTGATCTCACTGTATGCAGCTATTATTTCTCTGTCAGGGTTCGTACAAATCAGCCAGTGTGCTAAACTGTTGCGGAGTGTGGGTAGTCGGGACTAGCTGTTACTATATTATAAACTCCTAACACACCCCAACCTTTGAAGGTCAGAGCTGTCTGCACAGGGGGTTAAATGCCACAGAAATTAATTACTTCCCCTGTCAATCTCTGCTATCGTGGTTTCCCATGACAGAAGAAAAAGAGGGCTGGGGCTTAATTCTTGCCCCCCACCCTCATCCTTTTTTTACCCCGCTCCCCTCCTTTCACAACTTCACCGGGCTGAAATGAATTTGGCAGCGTGGGGTTAATAAAGATTACCCCCAGAGTTATCTTTATGTGATTACGTTTATACACAGCATGGATCAAAAAGAGCCAATTGCTAGTCGGGTTAAATTTAGAGAAATTTCCTGTGGGAGGGGACCAGCCAATGGAATACCACCACTATAGCCATCAAAGACCTGCCCTGTATGTTGCCACATGCTGGATTCAGTTTGATAGTGACAGGCTTTTATTTCATTGATGTACAGAACACATGGTGTGTCTATGTTTGTGTGTGTGTGTGTGTGTGTGTGTGTGTGTGTGTGTGTTTACATTC